CACGTTTCGTGCCCCGCCGGGAACTCTTTCGCGTGTGGCTAAGACTCGCTTTACAGGATCGGTTGAGTCATTGACCTGGGAAAACGCGGGAATCAAAGGGACACACGACGAGATGGTATCCCCCCTCCCCTTTCGAACGATCGACCGAACACTTTTGCGATTATTATCGCATCAACCAGCTCTACCTCTGACGTGTCTTCGTTCACCCTCAGAATCATTATCGTGCTCGTCGAGCCTGACCCAACCTATCTCTGCGCGGAGTTTCACAAAGATAGACCCCCGATAACTCGGATGCAATATCGGTGAAATTCAGTGAGTTCAGATTTCGGAGCGCGGATCCGGATTTTTATGGAACTTTCCAGTGCGTGACGCGTAGAAGCCAGCCAACCCGTTTGAGAGTCACTGTCGCGAGGGAAATCATACCTAATTTGGAGGCGGTGAACGCATGGGTCATCGCGTGCTATTCGCATGTACGCTGCAGTGTCTCTCATTTCGCGCACGAGTATTTTGCAATTTTTTCTTTTTTTTTTTCCTGCCGATGGAACGAAGCATTTTTCCACGCAATGAGAAAGTATCGTTACATGCAATACGCGTTTTAATACGGATTCTTTAGTGTTGTTAAATTTGTTAGTTTTGTTTAAACAAAAGCGATATTGTTGGATATAATGACAATGAAACATCGAAAAATAACATTGTAAATCCTTAACCTTTTGCGCTAGTAACCGGTTGACGGACCATAACGAGTGACCAAACCGTATACAATAATTCGTTTTCTTTTTTGAATTCATCGACATATCACTGGATAGAAATTACTGAAAAGTAATAAATTTATCATTTGTTTTGCCTGGGTTATATTTCAATATACTTGAAACTGAGAAAATATTGCAATTTTGGGTCAAATATTCTCGACGTGCGTGGCACGTCATCTCAGCGCAAGAGGTTAAAAATCGTCGATCCCTAAAAATCTTTATGTTCATTTGTAAAATAATAAAATACGCCAAGCTTCCAAAACTAATTTTTTTCAAATCCATGCGTATTTTTGCATTTTTGTATATACACCCAGATTTTCAAAAATTCTCCATGCTCTTTTATAAAATGGATTCAATTTTTTTCATCAAAAAATCTGCGTTTGTAACTACATACTAATACTGTTATTCGTCGATCAAAAAGCATCAAAAGCCAATGAAAGATTTTAGAGAACGTAACGCCGAAACGTTAAAGCTATTCCATACGTATCCATACGTATCGCAAACGGTCGCCGAAAAGTGGCGCGTGGTACTCACCACGTGGCTCGCTGGAGCTGTGATGGTTGGAGTGGGGCGTCACAGCGAGCGTATGATCAGAGGAGGAGGAAGAGCTGCTCGCGAGGCGCTCCCTCTTTTTCTCTTGCTGCTCCACGAACCGCGCCGCTTCCAGCAACGTTTCCAGGCTCATCCTGACGTTGCCGATTCGCCCAACCAAGAGTTCTCCTCCTTCTTGAGATCCTTCGGGAGATTGAGACCCTGCGATCGGACCGTCGATCCCCGTCGCCGGCTGCCGAGGACGAAGAAGTCGAGAGCCCGTTCTCCCGTCTCAACCCTCCTCCACTTTTTCTGCTGCCCAGCCGCGATTGGCGATCTATCCGCAGAATGAAAAAAAAAAAAAAAAAAAAAAAAAAAAAACAAGCGTTCAGTTATGCTGAAAATGCACCACGGATCGCGGACTCACTAACAGAGTGGTGGGGGAAGACCCGTGGTAACTCCCCCCGTTGGATTTTAATTCGTCGACCTTGGCGAACGCGAGAAGACAGGACACAACGCTTATGAATGTAAATTTACTCGATGATCAGCGCAATCGACGTATCGGCGAAGAGAGAGAAAAAAAAAGAGAGAAACCAATTAACCGGACATAGGCGGTATGACATTCGATCGGCGACACGGGGCAAGTGAGGAGAGATCTCCGTTACCGTGAAAACAAGATCACCAACACACGTCACGCTTTCTCATTTGTTTTCGGCCAGGGGCTCGCGGATTCGAATCGATCAGCCGCATGATCGTTATTTTCTTCCCAATGTTTGAAACTTTGTTGTTCGATAATATTATTAGCCTGTTCGAAACGGAGCTGCAGACGTTACGGACACGACCGGTGTCTGAATATACGTCACGTGACGTACGCGTGACGTAACGCAGTCGCGCGGGAAGCCTCATCCCCTCCCACGTATCGTCTTCGTAATACCTCGCGGAGAGGACGCGCAAGCGCAACGGTGCGCTTTCCTGGAGCACGGAGCATTAGCACGCATCTCGAGTTCCGATCGCTGGAAACAATGTAACAGTCGAAAAAGAAAAGAACCCGTTGAAACGGCAAGTTCCTCCGTTGCGAAATGTATCTCGTTATTCGCTACGTTCGAGAAACAGACACGTTTACAAATATAAAATTTGTAAAAGTTTCGAGACTTTGGAGCATATGGAATGATCAATCGAAAAAAGAAGAAATCTCGAGACTTGCGTATAAATTTCAGATATTGTATGTTGAATCTAATATCACTAAATAAGTATTTTATGCGAGAGATAGTATTTTTAATTATTACGATACATTAGCGAAATAAATGGATTTTGATGAAAAGTAAACTTACTCGAGTAGAATTGAAACTCGAAGTACCGCAGTTAAAGTACCGTTAAGCAGAAAATTGACCGAATGAACTTTTGCGATCGTTTAAACATTCGCCGAGATACGCGGCGAAGTTGCAGGAGGCGATCGTCTCGTCTCGAGCCGGTTAAATTAGTTTCCCCGTGATGCGCGGCATCGAAAACAGTAACGAGAGTCGTTACGTGACGCTGGTACGCGCAAGAGCGTACTCGCGAATACAAAGAGCGTGTAGAGAGTGTGCAGCGCGCAGAGCCGTAAGAGTATATATGTTGTTGGGTGCGCGCAGTCCGAGAAGTCAGCGAGCGATGAAAAAAAGGTTGACGAGACAGAGAGGCGGGAAAGGCGAAGCGGAGAAACGAGGTTCCGCTGCTGATTTGAAAAGTAGATATATCCCGGGCAACGTAATCGCGAAAGCGTACCGCAATCACGAGCGGGCGCACAATTGCGTACCATGGTAGCCGCGACCGTGCAAAAATAGGAAAAGACGAGTACGATGCACGGGAGCTCTGTGCCTTACACGAGTTCGTGTTAAACGAGCGGACTCTCATGGTCTCGCCGCGGAATAGTATACGAAAAGTCAAGAAGCGTGCCTTAGACCGAACGAGCTCCTTAAACTGACAAAGCGACGCACACGTTAGACGGGCGACGCACGCACCGTTGGCCAATAGGAGCTTGCGATAACGTGACGTCATGAGTTGAAGTACCGTGCGATTGGCTGGGTCTATTATGGCACGGAAAACACGCCACGCAACCACCTATACACATGTTAATTAAATAGGCGATAGTTTCCGACGAGATAAATGCACGACGGAGGGTTTTAAACGGGCGTGGTGACGCCAGAAACCGATGGGAAATAATCAGGAACTTACGGGTACGCCGCCAATGTATCCCGGTCACGATGGAAACACGCTGGACACCCACTTTCACGGTAAAAATCAATTTCCTGCGAGAATTTCAACGATATCTCTCCTGTCAAATACGCGGCACATGCGTGAAACCACGGGACACACGTACGTTCTCGTATAGCGGACGATCTCGCGACGTTTCACGACACACGACGGTTATAACCTGATCGATCTAGCGCGTGGCAGAAACATTTTACAAGTGCTAACCACTGCGCATCAACAGCCATGCTTGCTTGGCCACGATTCACGTGTCTGGGGTCCGAGGTATAGACCAATCAAAGCGCGGTTCATGACGTCACCTGGCTGTATCGACCAATGAACGCAGCCCATGTGACGCAGCACTCCGCTGGGCGTGTAAGAGAAGTGTCGAGCTGCTGTATATTGCTCGTTAGTTGATGCACTTTTTCCCCCGATTTTCTCAGGTCTACCTCGGTACCATCGCGAGAGACCGACGGAACCGACGCCCCGGTGTCGGCCGATATCTTTTACGTGCACGCTTACCTTCCGGTGGACGCCAGAACGGACGAATATCGCGACAATCGTACACAGCACACCCGACACCCGGCTCGCCCGGGCAAACACTCACTCCGATCTCGGCGGCGTCACCCTCTGCCACCTTTTGTCACGTTCCTTCTCTGTCACATGGATCGGACCTCTACACTGTTGCCACTTTTATCCGTATAGAACCGTACAGTTCATTGTTTACTTTTGCGCGCGCGCCAAAACCACGTCCCGTCACTTTTCTCCAGCTAATTCTTCTTTTCCTTTTCTTTTTTCAATTTGCGCGAGACATCACTTTTTAATGCTGTTCAAAATTTTTACAATACTGCACGATATGATACACTTAAAAACGTCACTCTGTTGTATCATCTAATCGACCTACGTTTGAACAAACGTATTTAACATCAACATTTTTATTTTTCATTACTTTGAAAACGTACGAACATTTTTAAAAAGTCGCAACACTGATTTTCTGCTGTTAATCCCGCTTAATGTAGGAAACATCGTTTTCGAACAGTATACGTTTTTATTGAAATGAAAAAGTTATTGATACAATTCAAAGAAATATTTTTAGATATAAATTTTTTTAGAAATAAACATTCAACAAAGATTAAAGTTTATTCTCATTTTGTAAATTATTATCATTATATATGTATTATTTTGAATATAACACATTTCTGCATATACTTAATCCATATAGTAAAATTTACTAAATTCATACGAAATATAATCATCAACACGTACACCTCGTGTTTTTAACAATGAAATTATTTTCTAATAGAGAGGAATAAAAATATAAAGTATTAAATATCATTAAAAATGTTTTACTTCATATACATTTTGCACAAAATATATATACACTATATATAAATATAGTAATATATAATTTTTGAAAATTTACATATATTAAACTATCACTTGCTATCAATCTTCTAAATAGATATATAAAATTCAATTCACTTTGCTTTGTTATTCTCTCCCATGAAAAATTCGTTTCATTTCTAATCTAAAACAAATTCAGTACAAAATGTGACTAGAATTTGCAAAAAATATTATACATTACAATCTACATACAGATCTTAATACATAAATATCATCGTGGAATATATTTCTCTATTACTAGTACGAAGAGATTTGTAATTATACCTTTTATTTTTTTTCTACCAATTTTTCTAAATCTTTTGTTTCATATATATTCTTGCATAATTTCTTGATTAAATTTGAAAAGAATTTTTCAAGTTTGAAAATAAATTTTTACAAATATGTAATGTAATTATTCTAAATTATATTGAATTTCTGTTTGCTACTAAAATTATACATTAAATATTTAGATATCAAGAATATATATCCAAAATGTTAATACAAATTTAATTTTGTACAAATTGCTGATTTGTAATAAATTATACAAGTATTATTTATACAACCAGTGAACATTTAATAAAAACGTACAAACATAGAAACTAGAGTCATGGAACAGAATATATTGTATTATGTTTGTACGCATCAGCACCATCATTTATATTGACCAATCATCTTAAGTCTTACTTCTTTCTTTAGCACATATAGAATTTATTCGACATTTGGATATAAGTTATTCTATACTACAGAAAGAACAAAAAATACTGTGAAGAATATAATTACAGATTTAAAGTAGAACATTCAAAGTATAATTTCACAAACTGTCTTCATTATAATACTTCTTTTAAACATAAAACGTTATCTAAGAACGTGATATTAATTTATAGCATATCACTAAGCAACTGTTCACAATTCTTAATATTTTTTTTGCATTTTCATGTAATTTATATTTATTGAAACATAAATTAGACAGAATATAGAAGATCTTGATAAATAGCATTTAGAACCTATTTTCAACAGAGGGTATTTTAAATCCAAACAGCTCAATCACATACTTCTTTAGAACACGTATAATAATTAGAACAAAGTCTATGAATACTTTATAGTTATCATAAAGATCTTTTAAATGACAATCGTATTACAGTCAAAATAAAAAAAAATCTTTATACATGTTTTACCTTTTTACATAAATTATTTATTTTTTCTTCTTACTGAATATTTTTGTTAGATACTGTAAATGTCAACTAACGTAGGAAGTAATAATTTTAACTAAATAATGCTTCATTTAAGCATTAGTTATCTGCTTAAATTACTAACGTAGAGATGTTTAAGCTCTGTCTTTGGCGTATTTTCGAAAAGAGCAGCTCGATTTTGTCCTTCTCCTTTCTTTACCCAGTGACCGTATACTCTGAATGCGCAACCATCGATAACCTATAACAAAAGATTACATAAATATCATTTCATCAATCTATAGAACAAGTCGTTAATTAAAACATTCTTTAAATAAGCAATGATACCTTCCGCAAAATTTTGATCCTATAAGGATCAGTACATGCCACGTGAGTCGAAAGAGGTTCAGGCGTATTATGAAGATGCTTGATACGAATGACCGCACGAACACATAGAATTGCTAACTGGAACCTTTTTCTTGCATTAAATGATTTTGCCTTTAATTCCTGTACAAAATTTAAGAAAGGATAAAAGCTTGACGATATTTAAAATCTATGTATAGTTTTATATTTTTATTACACGATACGCTGCAACAAAACTGTTATTAAACATAGTAATAATTACACACAAATATATATATATATATATATATATATATATATATATATATATATATATATATATATATATATATTGCATTCAGAGGTAATATTAGGATGTGCATAATAATGAAATGGCATACGAACAAAGAGCTTTAAAATATTAATGTTATTTTAATCTTGCCAATCGAAAAGATCAAAAGTGAATATCAAACAAATGTAATTTTTTAAAAGCTTGCAGAAAAAGATGAAGCAGAAGTTAATATACATACACAATGATTCAAATATTGTTTTTTTAATCGTAATTTTTCAATGTATGCTGTAATATTAATGCTTCCTTATTTTTTTGATTATTAATTGTTTAATAACTTATATACATTTACATATACATGTTACGTCTTTTTGAAATATTATCAGTTATGCATAATTACTGATAATATTTATGTGTTGCTTCTTAACTATACAGAGAATAATATATTTCGTAAACAAATTTATGTGTTGCTTCTTAACTATACAGAGAATAATATATTTCGTAAACAAAAATAAAATAAAATAAAATATATATAAATATTATATTCACTTTGATTAAGTTGAAATATTAATAAAAGTTAAATTGTTAATTGTTATATTGTATGAAAATTACAACCAAAAAAATCCACATTTAATGACAAACAAAATAAAAACAAAAATAATTTACCAAAGCTAATTGAGATATCCTACTCAGACGTCGCGAATTAGTCGATAGTGAACGTTTTAAAGGAGCGATGTCTTGATCCCATAGCTGCAATTCCAATAATTTTCCGTTTATCATAGTAGCAAGATCTCCTTCTTTTGTTTAAAAAAAAAAGTACTTCCAGATTAATTATATACATAATTTATTAAATTAATATAAACAGACTTTTATATATAATTGTATGACAATGTTTGATATTTTATAAAGGCATGTATCATTATGGACATAGATAGTTGAACATATAAAGCAAACAAATAAAAACATAAAAATACGAATATAATACACTTATTTTAAATGCGGTAGTAAATATTTCGAGTGTATTCTACTTTTTTTGCTTAAACTTTTATATATTACCATTACAAATATGTTATACTAAAATACTTACCACTGTATGGAAAAACGAATGTTCCAAAGCTTCTTTGATACTAATTCTCTTCTTTGGATCAACAACTAACAATTTTCTGATCAAGTCTTTTGGAGCTTCTGAAAATACAATAAAAATTTCTTCTATACAAAATTTGTAAACATTAGACATATTAAGAAACTATTGATACACACAAAATATGTATATAACAGCACTCCACTCATTTAGCAAAAGAATGTACATCAAAGATTTATTAGTAATAATTTTTGCTACTTTTCACAAACAAAGCAACTCACACCAAAATGATATACCTTTGATAAAAACTCAAAATGATAATATTCTGATATTAATCACGGAGTTTTATTCATGTTTGTGTATTATTATAATTCAATAACAAAAACTTCCATCTAAAATTTTTCGCCTGTCTTGCATAGATTTACAAATTTTGTAAAACTTTGTCAATTGTATATTGCAGCAATTTTTTTTAAATTATTGTATATTTGTTTATCATAGTATTGTATGAATTTTTTTAAGGCAACATTACCTGTTATATCTGCCCATTCTGGAGATGTAAATGAATATTTCCCTTCCATAATATTTCTAAGCATAACCATTTGCTTCCTATGCCAAAAGGGAGGACAACCAACTAACAAAGTAAACATAATTACTCCGCAGGCCCATCTGAAAGATGATTAATATTGTTGTAATACTAATTATTATACATGTTTGTTTCCATTATATTTCATTAATTTACATGTCAACTTCATATCCATAGCCTTCTGCATTTTCAAACATATTACACTTGAGCACTTCTGGCGCCAAATATCCAGGAGTACCACAGAGATCTGAAAAAGCCATTAATAATATATTTTTGTGAATTATACAATTGCATTTTGTAAAGTAATTACATACCATATAATTTATCACCAGTTTTCAATACTCTAGCAAATCCAAAATCAGTTATTTTTACATTTAAATTATCATCAAGTAGTATGTTTTCTGGTTTTAAATCCCTATGCACTATCCCTTGATTATGTACATGTTGAACACCTTCGAAAACTTGTCTCATAATGTAACGCGTCTTTTTCTCTGAGAGAGTTACAACAGACGTGAGGTAGTCAAAAAGTTCGCCGTTTTTACAAATTTCAAAGATTAAAAATATAAATGTACTAGATTCGAAAACATCGTGCAATTCAACTGAAAAAGAAACAAATATTGTGAAGAAATTATCACAAACGTCACGTCTGTCACTATTAAGATTGAAAATGTGAAAAACTTACTAATATAAGGATGACCCGCTACTCTACGAAGAATTTGTACCTCCTGTAATGTAGCGTCCTTCATAATATGGCTATCATCATTAGTTTCATTACTAATATCTATGATTTTGGCTGCATACTCTGTACCTGTTTCTTTTTCTATGCATCTTCTAACAGTAGAAGATATTCCTCTGTAAATATCAAAGTAATATTTAACACAAATTAATCAATGCATCATCAATATGAAACTAACTTCAATTGAAACGGAGTTTCAATATTACTAATATTAACAATTTCACTAATGATGTTGCAGAAAAATGACAAAACACAGATTTATGACTTATTATAGTATTCCTTACCCTCGTTTACTTTACCTTCATTTACTAGAAAATCAGGTACATATACAAATTACCTAGGTAGTAACTCAGGTACTATGTCAGGTAATTTGTATACTTAAGTTATCAGTATACAAATACTATAAATACTATATAAATAGCTCTCAAATAATAGCCACAATATATAGGTACATTTTTGTTTAATACGAATGACTTCTCATAATACTAAAAATACTATCGACATAAGGAAATTTCGAATTTGACAAATTTCGAAAACAATACAGAAAACGTTTCAATGTAATTTTATAATTTGTATAATTATTGTTTCGAAATTTCATAAGTTTCATTATTTTGTTAATATATACATACGAAACTATGCGTTTAATTTTGTGAAATTATATAATTGCATAGGTTAGCTTGTTATTGAGAATTCCTCGATTCATTTATCGCGATCGTAGTACACAAATGCGGACAGATACGTATCAGCAGTACGCGCACATATTCGTTAAATAACATAAAAATAGTAAGGCTATGTTTCTTATTCTCGTCAGAATATCACGTGACCAACCTTCCTAGGATTTCTTTGGGCTCGTACTTCGCGTAGAATCCCTTGGCAGCGTCCTTGTCCGGTAAAAGATCGTCCCCTTCGTCTTTTGCCATGTTGCGCGCAATATTTCTCTCATATGAGTCGCGCTAACAGCCACCGTATAGATAGCACATGTCCCTCTCGATTTAAAAGAATAGTTCTTGCACTCGACGCGAATGTCATACGACGTCTGCACGACGTCCACACTGTTCAACTGTTCAACGTCACTGCGTGTACTACGGTCTTACGCGTACTGATTCCTTTGTCTCGTTCCAACTCCAATGCCTTTCTTCTACCACCACGATGCGGCGACCGTGGCTCCATCTGGTCACCGCGTCCCCACAAACATTTTCATTTCACCCAACAATCTACGAGTTGCACATCTACTCTCAACTTTGAACAACCGCAGCTAATCGACGACGATTTTGGATTAAACAATGCTCACAGACGAGATATGTATATGTATGATCATGTGCTATTCGCGATCCACTGTACCGCTCCTAGATGCAAACTTCTCAAATTTTCCCTCTTCCTCATGTCCACCGGGCGTTGAGCACTTTTGCGCTCTTTGGCTGCAGTTAGCGAGCCTCAGCCTCGGGTTACATATCTTATTCTAGTTCTATATTGTCCGCTATATTTCAAAAAAATCGTACATCGATACCTAGGCCAGACGAAAAATATACGTGAACCGTGGAAGGGAGAATTTCGGTATAAAAACGAGGAACGAAGAGCTCTGGCAATGTAACAAGAAAAGTCTTGTCGAGCGTGAAAAGGAAAAATAGCAATCTGTTATCAAACCCAAGGTGCATATAATATATTATACAGGATATTCATCTGTACTCGTATGTCATGTAATTTTCGTATTTTACTACTTTAAATTACAACGCTACGAATATCTTTTTCAAACACAATCTTTCTTTCTTTCGTGTAAGTTAATTTTTGACGTCGATATGTCGGGACCTACCATATGTCTCCGTAAAGATTAACCCGGGATTACCCACTTGGGGGTCTAATGCAGGTAAGATTAATGGAAGGTGAGCGAAAAAGCACATTTTAGCGAGTTCATATATTCTTTCTTATAAAATTAATGTATGGAACGAGAGACCGGTCTTCCACGAAGTTCTTCATAACACCAAGTGTTACCCTTTCGAATATGTATCTGAAACAACAGAAATTCCATATGTATTAACGGTGTGTATACGTGGTGTGAATATAAATAGAAAGCACACCGCTACCTCGCTTGTTCCTCGCAGTCTTGCTCTCAACGTTGAGAACTATTGTACTGCTCGGATGATGCATCCATTCCTTCAACACAATTTCAACATAATTATTAACACTCGTTGATGAAACAACTGTGAGACAAAAATACGAGGTTTTCGGATAAGCGATAGGTTTTCGGATAAGCGAAAATGAAGTTTGTATTTACGGACCTCGCAGTTGTGCGAGCAAGGCTTCATTTTTACGACATTCAATCGTGAGCTGCCTGACTGCAGCGACGTATTTGCGTTGTTGTTCTATCAGAGTCACTAGCTGCCGGCTGAGCGCGTCCCTTCGGTTTTTCTCGTCGGCACATCGTTTCTCCACCTACGCGAAACGATCTTATTGGAATACGAAACATTTTACTGTCAGCATGAAAGTTGGATTTCGGAAGACCCAACACGAAGTCGAATAGTTTCCCTTTACGTCTGCCGAGTTACGTCTAGAGTTATAAATAAAAACTAATTATACCATAAAAAGTCCTTCATTACCTTTGCCTTGTTACGCTTAACGCCTGCAACAATCGCCTCGAACTGTTTAAGAAATTCCTCTTTGCCGCTTGTTGATGCCATTGCTCTGTTAAAAACAGGAAAAAAGGGAAATACGTCATGCGTGTAATACATAATGCATATGATATTAATAAACATAAATGTAAAGTTTACCTTACTACTTACTCATTGTAATTATCTTGAATTGAATTCAGCAGTGATAACTCCTTGCTTAAATAAAGCTTCGTGTCATCCAAAGTATTGTACAATGTGTAATATTGCTTTGTTTCTTTGTGCTTTGCCGAAACTGTAAATTAAGTTACGATAAGTAAACATATGCCAATGTGTAAAAGTAGAGCGACAAACCTTGATTATAAAGTTCCATGAATCGCCTTTGGTATTGTGTAAGCTCTGAACGACCAGGAACGTCGTCCAATTGCCTAGTTAAGGACGCAATAGCCCTATTTTTTTTGGCCAGCTGTAGTCTGACCTTTGTAACCGCTTCCTTTTGTTGCTCGTACTCCTTCAAACGATCTTCCTCCTCCTCAGACGTACCATTTTCAATTTCTTGCAGCTTACCTTTTAGAAGATTCAAATCAGACTTACATTGTTCGCGGAAATCATGTTCTTGTTCCTTTAAACCATCGTGCACCAGAAGAAGTTCTTTCAAGCGTTTGTAGATACTAAATAAACAATTAATATTCAATTAAAAATTTTCAATGATAAAAACGTAGAAAAAAATAAATAAAAAAGATAAATACCTATCATTTTCATTGATATCCATTTCCTGTGCTTTCTTTAACGAGCGCTCGATGGCTTGTCGTTTTGCACGAGATTCGTTCAGTTTCTCCGTTAATTCCAAATGCTTGGCGGACAAAGCGTCTCTTTCCTTCGTTAATTTACGAACACGATTTTGAAGCGCAGCTCTTTGATTCTCTAGTGCAGTCAAAGCTGCCGAAGAATTTGTACCGCCTGTTTCCTGCGGTTGTTGAGACATTTGGAAGTTTCGATTTACTTAGATCGTTAATAGATGTTACCATGTCTAAATTAAAAATTGGAAAATTTACCTCGGCTTCGGAAATCGACATCGTCGCATATTTCTCGGCTACTTTGGCGATCTCTTGAGCTTGAATACCAACGATATTACCCACAGCTACTACGCTTAAACGAGCCTAAATGAATCATAAGTAATGAATAATTTTTTAATAGGAATTACAATAACAAAATTACTTACTGAACTTTCTTCTATAGCAGCCAAATTCCCAGTTAATTGATCTGTATTTTCCTACAAAAATAAATTTAATTTCATTTGTACTAAACATCTACTAAGGAGTGCGTTATTTCAACCAATATTCACCTTTTCCTTCAGCTCTTCTTTATTTTCATTTTCCTTAACATCACTTGAAGCAGCCTCGGCTGGTAAAGCAGCAATTTTTATAGAATATAAGGGTGCTTCATACTCCAGGACAGTGCCAAGAAATCTTGTAGACTCCTCTCTTTTGGCGTCGTCTTTGTGTTTAAAAAGACGTCGAGGTTCATACGATTTCTAAAAGGAATGATGCTTTTAATTATTTTAAATACAAACAGTAGTCTGAATAAGAATTAGAAAATAACGTCGTACCTTGATCAAATGAATATTTTTTATTAAATTTTCTTTGACACCTTGTGCCGCAGATGAATCCTCGGAAAAAGAATGCTTTTTGTGAAACTGACTTAAAGCAAATGATCGTACAAAATCTGCTGTTTCTTCCCGGGTTTCCATCGAACGTTTGACCAACCACTGAAACACACATATTATGAGTAAACATCAAAATTCAAAGAATTAATAATAATTAATAAAAATTACCTGAATCACAGGGAAAATGTGAATGCAATCTAAGCCTTGAATTTGATGTGGTTCTATTCGATATGGGCAATTCATTTTAGGTAACATAGCTACGATTTTTTCAGTCAATGAGCTAATGATATAAAATGTATAAGATATAATATAAATGTATAATATTTCAAATATTCCATAAATTTACTTACATTTTTTGACCTATGGTAAGATTTTCCCTAAACAGTAAATCGATATCTACATCGAAGTTACATGATTCTATGCACCAGGTCATCCCACCGATTACCTAAAAATTATGATATCTGTTGATCTTAAATGTATTCTTTGCAACTGTTCAAAAGAATTCATCTCGTACATACTTTATCAAAATTCGATAGTCCCTTTATCCTAGCTCGAAAGTAGCCCGCCGCAAGAAGCAAGTCGATAATGTCTTGAAATTTTTTCGTTTGCTCTTCATCTTCGCGAACATCAACCTGAAAATGTTCCGCAATAGGTAGTTCCAATTGTATCTTAGTTTTTGTCAAATCAAATTTCCCGCTCTTTATCTGGTACATGTTAATTAGCACACGAAATTACCGACAGAGCGGTTGGACAGGAAAGCGCTGTTACAATTTTTATACTAAAGTATTTCGAACAATTATGTTTAAACAAAACATGGACAGAGAAATACGTAAATGAAGATGTTGCGAGACATAGTAAAAAAGATAAAATATTGAGCGCAAGTAGGCGAAGCTATAGTAAAAAATACACGCGAGTGATATCGCATACTTTATTGTCGCATTGTATATATGTGCATTGTAAATACGTTTTACGATAACTTCTTTGTTTTCTTTTTTACAAACTTCGACGACTGATTCACTAACTTGTCGAAACACATGAACGTTTTGTGAACGTACCTCGGTTGTTTCGGAGCTTCGTGACAATCTCTTTGACACGTCGTTTAACATGGTTACATCCTTCGGTCAATATGCAAATCGAAAACGATCAATATATATATATATATACGAAATTTAAGACGAGTAATTCATGTTTTTATTTGATAATAATCGAGTTACATGACGATACAATCGAGTTCTGTCACTTGATAGTATACACTTTCGCTATCATTCTAGCCATTTTGCTATCGTCACGCCTTAAAGAGAAACCTTAAGCCGAGTTTCTACATGCTGTTCTCTAACTAGTTTTTTCTCTTTAAATTGTTCCCATCAAAAATATAAAATGTAAAACAGTCTATATTTGAAAAATATTAAATACCGGTTTTTCTTAAGTTTTATTTATTATTATTTCTCAAAATAGATTGCGTTCATGTCTCGTTCTAAAAGAAGTTAAAATTAAAAGTCTCGAGCGACATCTACAGATGTCGTTCCTCCTTCTTTGAATGGAAGTTAAATTGATACTTGAACAAGCACGATAAATCCTTCTCATGATGGCGTGATGCAATAATATGTAATATTATTGGTTATATATACGTTATATATTTATAGTACCATGTATTATAAATATATAACATGTGTATAACACGTGTTGTACTTTTATACCACGACATTCCTTAATGTATTCGCAATGTCAATTTTTAAATGACAACCAAGAGCAACAAGGAATTAATTTATTTTAAGTTTCGTCGACATCATTTTTCTTTTCTCTGTATAAAAATAGTTAAATTATTATATAACGTAATGTTAAGTAATCATTGTGAAAAACGCCACGTGTACAGGATAAAAATGATTAATAAAAAAAATTGCTTCTATCTCGATCTCTTTTAATTATTTAACGAATTACAAAATTATACCCTGAGAATAACCGACGTTATCAATTTTGCTTCCTCAAATGTAATATTATCACAAATGTACGATACAAGAACATTTCGCACAATAACAACAATCATTGCGGAAATTTTCACGAACTTTCTTGTTTTGTTAATTCCAGATGTTTTTAATATTCATCGTATATCGTATCGCTTTAGGATGAAGTTAATATATCGAAACGTTTGAAGGACGAGTGGAGAGGAAACGAGGAATGTCCTTCGAATTTCAAAATTGACCATCCTTCTTTATCGACCTCGTCGCACTTTTTTATCGATCTTAACGCACTTCTTTATCGACAGTTACAGTTACAGATTGTTACATATGCATTTAGAGCACACGTACGTTTTCTTTTATCTATCGATACTTTTACCTATTGTAGGCAAATATCAACATATCATTCGTAGAATTTTAATCTAGTCAATTCTTCAATGTTCAGTACGAAATGGACGAAGGATGCTGGATAAAAAGCAATATAGATATTCTTTTGCAAATTGTCGTGTATTAAATATTCATAACATTGTTTGGTAGAATGACCGACAAAAATTGACGGTGTGCACGAGATAACATGCACATGAAACATCCTTTGCGCGGCAACCATTGCCACAAAGACGCGCGATTTATCGCGGAAGTCCGAAGTAAAAAAGCAGCGAAACGATATATAGTAAATATATATATATATATCTCAAATTTTTCATTTCTTAATCGTGATTCTATTATTAGAGAATCCTCGTTGTAATTTTCGTTTTGATTATACAGTCGTCTATCCTGAACTATTCTTCGTGTACAACATAGTGTACATATATATTTATAAAAAAAAAAAAAAGGAAAAAAACCTGGATGGAAAAAAGAATTGACGAGTACAAAAAAACATGGACGAAGCTCGGCAAAATTCAGCAGCCTTCCGTGGCTCGAAAGAACAGTTTGCTCATTCTTGATGAAACACACATCTGATACATTTTTGATACAAAAAAAATGGCAATAACTACCGTGCATCGGTTATTGTCTCTCTTCGATCGACTGTGTCTTTTCACGTCGTCTTTCTCTCATACAAGATACATTATTATCGACTTTAAAAAAAAAAAAAAAATCATTGAAATCGAAACAGAACGCCAGAACTGCCAAGAATGGCGAAAATAACGATTTAAGGGTGAGGGAATTTATCATGGATTTGTATAATAGTGTATAATATTCTCAATGATTCGAACGATTCTTAAAAGGAAATATATAAATAGAAATTCTACAGTGTCAGATTGATGCACATGAAAATTTTGTTTCGTCGAAATTTAAATACCATCTGGACAATATTGTTCTGCCATTAATCGCCAATTTACTATAAATTCGACATTAAAAAGATTTACAGTAAAGTTACTAAATTTCATCGACGTATAATCCAGAAATATGATCCAATTGTTGTGAACAAAATGATGAAATTATTGAAAAGATGAGTCGTTTAAAAAAAAAAAGAAAGTTTATAAATGAGAAAAATTATAACAACTCTGTCCCAAGATAGTCTAAAATAATCTCTACCGAAACGAACGATATGAAAACTACAACGTTTTGAAAACATTACGCGTACTTCAATACTTTTACGCCCATCAATCTAACTCTTATAAACTCTCTTTCCTATTATTTCCCAAATTTTACGCATTCAGTCGTTGGTAGTTCTTTTGTCAACGTACAGAATGCATCGCCTAAAGTTACCTAAAGAATCTGATAACTCCGACGTGTAAAATACAACGACGTGTAAAATAATCGTAGAAACAGTTTCCATAATTTTGGACATTCATAATTTTAGCGATGCATCCTGCACGAACAACGATCTTACATCCTATCGATCTCCGCGAGGTGAAAACGATCAAGGCACTACAGTATTGCATTGCGTTTCGAAGTGCGAACGACAGGAATTGCTCGGACGCCGATCGAAAATAAAACGAAAACGGAGGACGATCGTGTCTGTCGCTGTGCAACACGCGCCGTTCCAAAGCGTATTATTATACTTTCCGAATATATAAATAGCACTCGGCGAGTACAAAGCTGAAACGAAGGCCGGAATTAGCGGCCATCAATTTCCATTTCGTTTTAAACTTCTCGCCGAGATCCGCTATTAACAATATTAATCTTCGAATGACAGCGAGAAAAATGGATCGTTGCAAATATTTCTCGAGCCCTTTTTTTTTTGTATACTATCCCACGCGAAGATTATCAGATTTGTTACTGTTTGTTTTTTCATTGTCCAGTGAATTATTTTGTCTAACGATTTTACAATGGATGACAATCTTCGAGATTATGATCGATGATATCTTTCGTGAGAATCGCTGAATATATATTCTACAAGATCTTCGACACTGTTCGACAAATTGATTCGTGCACAAGTTGCTCGTTTTTGTTTTTGTTTTTATTTTTATTTTTTTTTTTTTGGCTGATCTCGATTCCAAGATCAAAGATCCAATTTCGCATCGTACACCTCGCGCGACACACTTGTGTCGCTGTCACTCTCGCTGTGAACTTCTTCTTACAGACTAGCAAACGTGCACATCGCGATATTATCACACCCGCTGCGCCATTCTGTCACTTACTCTTAATTAGTACTCACTTTTGTACGTTACTCTTTCGTCTCATTTCGTGCAATGTGCACTAGGAACAGATTGACGATTTCCGCTCGATAGATCGATCGATCTTCCACTTTATCGGAATACAGAATATCCTTCTCTTCTTGTCTTTTTTTTCCTTTCCAATTTTAATATCAACTGAACGAATGTGTCCGAATTTCTGTCGATAAGATTGTTTCACAGATTTCAATTCAAATCAACAGGAGAATGTGATAACGCGGATCGATCGATCGATAATCGGCCTTGGAAACCTCTTATCTTACAGATTGCTCTTTTGTTAAACGCGACAAAGTTAAACGAGCGCACGTTAAAGTCGAAAAAAAAGGGGGAAAGGGGGGGGGGGTGGAAGAAGAAAAATAAAATCAACGGTGAACGGTCCTTGTTCATAGGTAAAAATGACGCTCAGTTAAGTATAATTTACGTATCTATGTCCGTGCGTGATACGGTGCGTAAACTACAAAGAAAAAGAAGAAAATAAAAAATAAAAAATAAAAAGAAAATTATGAGAAAAACCGTCCCGCAGTTGTGCGAAGTGCGATGGTAAAAAAAACTTCGTCGTGCGCACGGTCGACGCAACGCGAATAAATAATAAAAAAAAAAAAAAAAAAAAAAAAAAAAAAGAGAGAGAGAAACGGATGGGGGAAGTGAGAAAAAAAGACGGTGCTTCTATATCCACGTTCTTGATGGTGCTCTCGTCTTTTGAACGGATCCCACGGTCTGACGGATCCGGGTACTCCGAGCCACGTTGTGCCATTGACTTTGCTCGGTTAATCGCTCGAACGTATGATCGATGCGCGGTGAAAGTCATTAACGTCGTACACGAAGTCGAAAGTAGGCGTTTGAAGAGACGCGAGAAATCTGGAAGGCGTAGGAAATTCGAAATCTGACCGATGGATTTCGAATTTCATTCCACTAATCTATTAATAAAATTCAGAGAATGAAATTCAATAGATTTAACGATTTGAGAAATCGTTAAGAAGACAGTGTGGAAATCGATGGTTTAAAATGTTAAGTGAACGTTGAACTGCCTACGTGAAACACGCCGCATTAATGATTGTCACCGTACACCTAGTGTACATTGCAGCCCGACGTCAGTAGCGACGACTCTGACGTAAATCGGCGAAGATCGATTGAATTTTCTTTTGCGTCAAGCCGCGGTTCTTATGCCATTTATGTCGGTTACACGAGTTTCACGGGGAAACGAAGCCCTAGTGATGATTCTACAGTGTGCAAAAAGAAGTTTGTGTAAGCTCAAGATAATCGATCGAGCAATAAGACTCGTTTTTTTCTATCCCGCTTTGTATGTTGCGATAATTTTTCCTGTAACTATTATTGTCAAAATGATTGAACACAGACATCGAGCTCGTGAATATTGCTTGTTTACAGAACACCGATTAGAAAACGTTTCGCACACATTTGTACTTGTAGCATTTACATACTAATTAATTAGATTCAATTCAATAATGTATAATCTTTGTATAATGACAATCGTCAAAATTTGATGTTGCGAAAATCGCATGTAGATAAAAGTAAAATTCATCAAAAAACAAAATAAGAGTATGTGCAAACACGCCGCTGTACGTATTTGGGATTATATAACTTGCAGATGTAAATTTCTCTTCTTTAATTGTTCTTCATAAGTAGACTGCGAATATCTTTAAGGAACTTAGATAGAAATTTGCTTCATCTACCACGTATAATAATAAATACTCTACTTTAGACACTATATACACTTTTTGTATGTTACATGTATTCTGTAAACTATCAAGAGTAATTGCAATTTCTCTTAGAAATCTTAGAGATTTATAAAATAGATTTGTCATTATTGAAAGGAAACATTATTTTCTCTACTTTTCACAAAGTTTTCACTTCAATTCCCGACAAGTCTAATCTCAAAACTCCTTCCATCGAGTGGAGCGCAGTCCACTTACGTGCAACTAAAGTTACCGGAGACTCATTTTGAGCAAACATACGTATCACGAGTAATTTCCAATACACAAACTCCTCGTAGTGTCACGGACAGAGGTGACACGATTACATAACAGCGATATACGATTACGATTGTAACAAAAGAATGAGAAACAAGATTGATCTGTCGAGGATCCCTATCTACAATGTGACGCCTTTGTCGCCGTTACAGTCATCGTGCTATACAACGTGAAATACAGAAAAGGAGCGAGACGAAGCTACAAGTTCGGAGCTCGCGTGGCCGCGTGACTTTGACGCTGGATGGCCCAGCAGCAGCAGCAGTAGCAACAGCAGCGGCGGCACCCTCCTGGTGATGGTGGTGGTGGTGGTGGTTGTTGTTGTACGTGTTCGTCGTCGTCTACCTGATCTGACAACGAGCTCGCTCGACGAGAGCGCGGAAGGTGTCCAACGACACGCCGGCATCTGTGGTACGCGCTGAGCGATTATTCCGTCGCACCGCAGCTCCTTCGAACCCGGCGCTTCATTTGTGTTCCTCGAGGATCTCCTGGATGCTCACGTAGGTCCCGGTTAGGAAACCCAACACGCCGAACGTGATGATCGCCAGGTTCTTCCAGAGCCTCCAGTAACACGCTCCCAATCCGTTCTCCTGTTCCCAGACGGTGACCAGCTCGATCACAGACGGGAACATCAGTCCGAGGGTGGAGAGGCAGACGGCGCCAACCAACGAGATGAACGGCCCTAGATTTGGAATGGCAATCGCCACGCACACGGTGAAGATCACCATGCTGATGCGGATCATGTACTCGCCGAGGAGCTTCCTCGAGCCGAAATACTGTTTGAGATTCTTCCAGATGATCTCCATGGGCACGTAGAATTGCAGCCCGTAGGTAAGGAAGATGGCCACCGCGATCATTATCTTGACAGACTGAGCGAGGATGTCGCTCTGTTTCAGGTTCAGAGTGATCGAGGCCCTCGTCTCCTCGCCGTACCGCCAGTAACCGAAGAAACCAACCGTGCTGTACAGCAACACCACGAAGAACATGCCGGTGTTCAACACGCCTGGGCAACCGATGAAGTGCGTCGGGGTTTTCATATTGTTTTCCAGTGGCATCACCTGTGAAAAGTAAAGAGAATTTTTTATCTATAGGCAGATGAATCTTTATGGTTTTCCTATTTCCTATTGATTACAAAGGTTCCGCTCTTTCTCATTCTCCACACATATTACTTCAACACCCATTCTCCTTGAACATAACTGCTAATATTAAATAATGAATACAGTACCAATCTTCTAATACTAAATCTTTCAACTTGCTTCTGGCAATAATTTAACTATGAAGTTACTTGTCCCATAATTATTTTGCTCATTGTAAAATAGAATAGAATACACTAAACAAAAAAAAAAAAAACTGTATAAAACAACATATGATATATTGAAAATGATAAATATAATTCTTTATCTTCCCAACACTCCATCTTTGGTTTCACTTAAAGTAAATTTTTATAGTTATCTTTATAGATCTGTTTTGGATAATAATAATAGACTGTAGTATTTGAAATTTTGAAGTACTTTCGATTTTGGACTCTTGGACATTTCTTTTCAACAGTAGTTTAAAATATGTCTCAACTGAGAGAACGTCCTTAGATTCTATTGACAATCATGTTATGCGACCCGATGGAATATACCCTTACAAATATGACAATGGCAATTGTGCTGTTGATTCTATCATAATAATTTGCACAATTTAAAAGGAACAAAAGATCTGGTGCTATGCTTCTTTTCTGTTGCCGCAACGTAATCGTATTACGTTGATGTAACCAGCAAAAGTTTCTTACTACACGTCATTATGTAATAGCTTGTGTCTATTACCGTTTTTTATGCATCTCATTAAGGCCATGAACAGTATTTAGAAAATGGTAGAGAGAATTTCTACAATTATTATTAAATAATGATATTTAATGACAGTATTAATGTAATTTAATTGTCAATACTAATACTATATTATGCTATATTATAAATAATAATATTAATTAATAGACTGCAATTTTATATATCTATGGCTGTAACTCAAGAGATAGATTTTAAGTAAAAAGTTGCTTTGTTGTTTGGATATTTCATAATATTTAATAACAGTATTAAGTCAAGTTATATTAATAGTATACTATATTATAAATACCGAGTACTGTGTTATAGATAATAATATTAATTAATAGACTGCAATTTTATATATCTATGGCTGTAACTCAAGAGATAGATTTTAAATAGAAAGTTGCTTTGTTGTTTGGGTATTTGATGATATTTAATAACAGTATTAACTCAAGTTATATTAATAGTATACTATATTATAAATACCGAGTACTGTGTTATAGATAATAATATTAATTAACTGCAATTTTATATATCTATGGCTGTAACTCAAGAGATAGATTTTAAATAGAAAGTTGCTTTGTTGTTTGGGTATTTCATGTACTATTATACATTATATGTATGCACTTTGTAGATTTTTGGAAGCTTGATTTTCCTACAATTGCAAAAATTTTCCACGCTCGTTTTTTCGAGAAATTTTCAGATATTTTTATATTTATCACAGTCCGTTTTATTCTATCTTGTGCATCTCTGATTTCCATAGATTTTCTTAGACAAAAGAAATCGCAGTTTCAAGCCCACTTAAGAACTGCGCAATATCGAAGGGTGAATTTCATCGTGATCGTTCATCGGAATTTTCGATCTGGCAATCGTTCGTAAACGTTTATCGCATGATCGAAATACTAAACGCGATTCAACTGTAATCCTCGCGACTGATCGTGCTCTGAACAGAATATCAACGATACACAACATGGCTCAATAAAATAAACGATCAATTTTTTTTTTAACTGAACTATTTTTTAAATTTATACATTATTAATTTTCTTGCTATGCTCTTGCTTCTTTCAAAAATTGTACATTTGCGGGAATTGAAGAGGCGAGAGACTGACGGAAGATCAGTTTCCGAGTGGCTCAGTTATTAATTACCGAGGAGATTAACTTCCTGTCGAAATTTTCTCTGTTATTACTCACATTACAGTATAATTCAGGTTTTTTCTTTTTTTTTTTTTCTCAAAATTGTACATTTGCGCGAATTGAAGAGACTCAGTTATTCATGGAGGAGGAGATGAACTCGTTGTTTGAAAGTTCAGAGGGTCTAGAAGCTTCGACACTTACCACACCAATGCCTTCGAGGGCGAAGATCGCCGTGCCGAAGAACAGAGGTAACTGAGACCAGCTCGAGAATTTCGGTAGATCGCCGACGCTGGGCAGATCGCTGAAAATGTAGTAGAATGTGATCCCCATTCCAGTGGCGATCAGTATGTTGGCCAGCATGGAGAACGGCGCCAGGAATTTCAAGTTCCTCACGAGTGAGAACATTATCAGGAGAGGCAGCAGCAGCGCCATGTAATATCGGATATCGCGGTCAGTCTCTGTATAATAATCGACCACCTCCTTGACGTTCGTTGAAATGAAAACTATGTACACGCAGCAGCAGCCAATCAGGTCGATCACTAGGAACGAGTTGATCGTCGCCCTGGAAAATTATTCCAGAAATGATTGCTCGTTTCATTATTTACGTTATTCCATGATTTCCTTTTTCTTTTTCAATGATATTCGTTCGTTCAGCATTTATAGAAATATATTTACAGAACATCATGTTCAATGTAAACAGATGTATATTAAATGTAAGTAAACTTGGCATCTTTCATTTCATAGTATCATCTAATCATTTAATTTTTGTTACAATAATTTCGTACTTTTTTCAATGACAATCGTTCTAAGATATTTACAGAAATTTACTTTAGAACATGCTGTAATGTAATAGAAATAAATATGTCAAGTATAAAGTAAATAAATATATTAATATAAAGTAAACAATTTTAATAATATTATAAAATTGTTGATTTTTATAAATAATATATTTATTTACTTTATGATAATAATATAAAGTAATATTATTATAAAGTAAATAAATATATTAAATGTTATATAATAATATTAATATATTTATTACAAAGTAAATAATTGTAATAATATTATAAAGTGGATAATTTTTATAAATAATATATTTACTTATTTTTTATGATAATAATATAAAGCAATATTATTATAAAGTAAATAAATATATTAAATATTAATGTATTTATTACAAAATAAATAACTTTAATAATATTATAAAGTAGTTGATTTTTATAAATAATATATTTATTTACTTTATGATAATAATATAAAGTAAATATATATATTAAATATTCTATTTAATGTTAATTTAATAAATATATTAAATATTAATGTATTTATTACAAAGTAAATAACTTTAATAATATTATAAAGTAGTTGATTTTTAAATAATATATTTATTTACTTTATGATAATAATATAAAGTAATATTATTATAAAGTAAATAAATATATTAAATATTATAGTTAATGTTAATTTAATAAATATATTTAATATTAATGTATTTATTACAAAGTAAATAACTTTAATAATATTATAAAGTAGTTGATTTTTATAAATAATATATTTATTTACTTTATCACAATAATATAAAATAATATTATTATAGAGTAAATAAATATATTACATATTCTATTTAATGTTAATTTAATAAATATATTTAATATTAATGTATTTATTACAAAGTAAATAACTTTAACAATATTATAAAGTAGTTGAATTTTATAAATAATATATTTATTTACTTTATCACAATAATATAAAATAATATTATTATAGAATAAATAAATATATTAAATGTTATATTTAATGTTAATTTAATAAATATATTAATATATTTATTACAAAGTAAATAATTTTAATAATTAATTATAAGGTAGTAATAATTAATTATAAGGTAGTTTAATTTATAAATAATATATTTATTTATTTTATAATAACATTATAAAGTAAATAAATACATTAAATATTATATTTAATATTAATTGAATAAATATATTAAATATAAGTATGAAATAATTATATTATACATTAACATGCATAAAATATATATAAAAAAACATTTTTGGAATACGTTAAAACCAAGCATGACAAATATAAACTTCAAAAGTGAGATTTCGGAAGCTTTAAAAAACAAAAAAAAAAAAAGAAAAACATTTAATTTACTTTTACGAAGATAGATTAAATTTTGATAGATACAAATTTTTGTATAATACTTATAATAATGACAATAGTAACATTATTGCTATTAACAAAAATTATTTTCAATTTCAAATTTCAAATTTTCAATCTATTATTTAAATGCTCGATTCAGGTTTTATTTTTATACAGAATTTTGTTAAATGAAGGTTCAACTTACTTCGCTAGGCGAGCGTATTTCTGCACCGGCTCAGGGCCGACGAGGAACGCCGCTTCCGCCACGTCGGCGAAGCCCAAACTCGGCGTTTGCGTCCGCCTGCACAGATTGTGCGCGCATTTCACCAAAATGTGCACACAGTAGGTGCAAACCGCGCCGATGAAGAACGTGGCGAATAAACCGAACAGCAGGCCGGCATTGCGGAAGGCCATCGGCATCGCCAGGATCCCAGTTCCCAGGCTCCCCTTCAGCAAATGTATCAACGTGTCGAGGTCGGAGGTCGGGTGGGCCAGTTTCCTGTGCTCGAACGGATTGTAGAGGGCCGCCTCCTCGTCGTTCGGCCGCTCCACGAGCGGCAACGTGGAACCGTTCGTGACGGTGATCGGTATGTCATTTTTCTCGCACTTGTATCTGCAAAACCGACGCCGTTAATACCTGATCGCCGTTGAAAACTGTCTGTTTAATATAAGTAGGGATATATATATATATATATATATATATATATATATATATATATATATAATATATATATATATATATATATATATATATATATATATATATATATATATATATATATATATATATATATATGTATACATGATATATATATATATATATATTTGATATGATCAGAGTTTCGAGAGATCGCGAGTAGAGAAGTGTCTGACGTGGGGGAGGGTTTACGACTTTTATGTACGGGCACGCGTACAATTATGCGAATGTTTCTGATTCTGTGTCAAGTACGGCGATAAAAAAAACGTGTGTGTATATATATATATATATATATATATATATATATACACGTGGAGGGAAGAATGAAGAGTGACACGCGTGTAAGAGAGATTTTCTCGACTAGCATAAGGATTCACGGATCAGCGGGCAACAGAGAGGAACCAAATGTTCTAAATATCCGATTATTCATTCTATAATTAATATAAATATTATCTATATTTATAAATTTATTATTAATATAAAATTATTAATATAAATAGTAGACAATAAGATTATGTTTAGTATACAATAAAAATTTATCTACTTTAAATATAAAACTGTAGATACAGAATCGATAAAGTAATTTCGATATCGAAAATTAAAAATAATAATCTAATTAAGGAAAAAAATATTGAATGGTAATGTAAATTTTGAAATTGGATTAAATTCACATTCAAATGGGATTTTTTTTTTTTCCTAAATTGATCTTTTTACTCCTCCGAGAAAAATTTATTGAAATTAATGTGACAAATGTAATAAATAATATGTAACACAGCCGTATTCAGCTCTGCAGATGCTCGACTAAATGCGTGAAGCTTGTGTGTCAGTGATGATTACTCAGACATGTAATTAATAATTGATTTTTTGATTTAGATAGTCACAGCTTGTGACAGTGATGATTACTCAGGCATGTAATTAATAATTGATTTTTTGATTTAGATAGTCACAGACAAGATAGTCGTACAAAGAGCAGGTAATTATTAACACACACGACAAACTATTTTTGCATCATCTACCAGCAATGTGATTTACGAAGTATCATTCGTAAACTTCGAATAAAAATGACATTGGAAATCATCGTTCGAATGGTAATACGAAATTTCGTTGATTACACGTTTCTAACGTGTGATGTCGCTTAGATTTAACCACCTTGCGCTGGCAACCGATTGCGGACCATAACGAGTGACCAAACCGTATACAACAATTCGTCACTTTCTTTTTGAACTCGTCAGTATAATATCACTATTACTGGATAGAAATTATTGAGAAGTGATAAATTTATTATTTGTTTTGCCTGGATTATACTTAAATATACTTAAAACTGAGGAAATATTGCAATTTCGAGAGAAAAAATTCTCGACGTGCGTGGTAAGAGGTTAACTACTTGCGCTGGCAACCGATTGCGGACCATAACGAGTGACCAAACCGTATACAACAATTTGTCGCTTTCTTTTTGAACTCGTCAGTATAATATCACTATTACTGGATAGAAATTATTGAGAAGTGATAAATTTATTATTTGTTTTGCCTGGATTATACTTAAATATACTTAAAACTGAGGAAATATTGCAATTTTGAGACAAAAAAAAGAAAAAATTTCTCGATATGCGTGGCAAGAGGTTAACCACCTTGCGCTGGCAACTGATTGCGGACCATAACGAGTGATCAAACCGTATACAATAATTCGTCGCTCTCTTTTCGAACTCGTCACTGAATAGAAATTATTGAGAAGCAATAAATTTATTATTTGTTTCACTTGAATATATACTTAAAACTGAGAAAACATTGCAACTCTAGGACAAAAAATTCTCGAGTGCAAGAGGTGCAAAAGCAATCATCGCACAGTTTTCTAAAACAAGTTAATGACACATAGCTTCTCTGGGAAAATATCCCTATTTTTTTACATGAAAATACAAAAAAAAAAAAAATATATGCACGTTGCAATATAACATAAAAATTTCTTATTTACTTTTACAAAGGCAGAAATTTAGCATCGAGATTAATAATATTACAAAGCTCAATGAAACTCGAGTGATTCAAAAATTTAATGTCCTTAATTTCCAATATCCAATACAGGGTGTATCGGTTAGGAGTTAAATTCTACTAATCGTGATTTTTTGGTACCACGGATCATCCGATTCATTTGGCAAACTTAGTCACTCGACGATAAATTTTCCATTGCACAATAAAAGAAAAACTCATTCTAAGAACATTCTGATCCTTCGATTTCCTCCCTGTCGCCCAACTTTCCATTCTTCCGTACATTTCCGTGAAAATCAATCGAGAACGATCACGGAGGAAAGTGAAAGATCTCTCCAAAACGTCGTGGATCTCTTTTCCCTCCTCCTTTTCTTTTCTATCCCTCTCTCCTTTCGATGTTTCTCGTTGACGTTCCTTTCGACAGGTCTGAATCGCGCAGGCATGCAACAGGCTTTCCGTTCTGATTCACTGACTTCGTTATTACTTCACACGGTCAAGGGAAAGGAGCTGCATGGCGCAACGTGTCTCGCGACGATGACACCATTTTGGCTTTCGCGCAACGAGATCGGAATTTTCTGGTATTTTCAGAGTATTTTGGCAAGATTCTCGCGGGTATTTACGAAACAACGCTCGATTTATTATTATTATTCCGCGCCGGTGGATGGATCAAATCGCGAAATTATTAGATCGTGCGATGCAGTTTTTTCGTTCGTTGTGGATCATACAGAATGTCCAAAGTATTCTTTTTTATAATATTTACTGACAACGAGTGAAACTTCTTTGAAAAAGAAACGATGGATGTTTAACCGTTTGCGGACCGTAACGAGTGACCGAGCCGTGTACACAATAATTCGCCGCTTTCTTTTCCATTTGAACTCGTCGGTATGACATTATTGGATAGAAATTATCGAGAAGCAATAAGTTTATTATTTGTTTTACTTGAATATATACTTAAAACTGAGAAAACATTGCAATTCTGGGGGCAAAAAATTCTCGAGTGCAAGAGGTTAAAGCAAGTCATCGACGTGTCATCGCACACTTTTCTAAAAACAAGTATAACGTATAAAAGTTAATGACACATAGTTTCCATCTCTTGTTGTTATACTTAAATATACTTGAAACTGAGAAAGTATTGCAATTTTGGGACAAAAAGCGGACGTCATTTATATCTATTTCCAAAACGAAAGGACAGATCCATCACTGGCTAGATAGATTTTACATACATAAAAGCAATAAAATTTCTAAATAGATTTCACGAAGAACATCTTTTTACATAATTCAACAAAGAATTTGAATTGATTTAAAAGTTTTGCGCACATACCATAAGTGATACGAAACGTCTCTAACAAAAAGCCACTTCATTCGAGTTCATCGATGATTTAACAGAAATTCGTGCTGTGTTAACAGAAACTCGCAGCATCGTATGAAAAATACAATCGACAACTTGCCAAAAGTCTGTTTCTCCTTATCTCGCCGCGTGTATTAGTGAATCAATTTTATACCAGCGAAAGTACACGCCTGACGTTCGTGGAACAATCATCTCGAATATACGAAGTTTCTGAAGGAATGTTTGCAAATTCGTGCCAGGAGCTTTATATCTAGTTGAAATGTGTTCAGTTTCGAAAGGTTTATCGAATTTCACTATAGACTTGTTCACGACTGTAACACGATATTTTCGTTTTATCTCAGCCTGTCCATCACTATTCTCAAATCAAATTTGATATTATTTTTCGCAATAATTTTAACAAAATTATCGAAAGACAGAGAACGTATATAAGTAATATTGTATATAAGTAATATAAGTAATATATAATATATATATTATATATTATTTATTATTTATTATATATTATATATAATAATAATATAATAATATAATATATTATTATATATTATATAAATAATATATATATATATATATATATATTCGCGAATAATGTATACACATTATAAAAAAAACCAACGAATTTGCATTCTTTCCCCTAATGACGTCCCCTAATCTCTATTAAATTACAGCTGTCACAAGTCAACCGACCGTATGTTTTGCAGTATTAATTTCCCATTACATAAAGTCACGAAATTCTCTCATCCGTGTAATATTAAATATTACATTGTTGCGATATTAATACTTCGTAATATTAAGCTAGCAATGTATGTATCTGATTCGAGTGAAGTATCATCTCCACGCTTAGCCATGCGCTCGTTCCTCGATATCAACATCCTACGTAAAGATTAAAAAAACAGAGCCTCGGAGCCATGAACGACACAATAAAGGGCCGTTTGCGACGAGAAAAATGGGGGGGAAAAGGAAAAACGTGCGAGATGGACAATCGGTCGTTCTAATCCGTCATTTCAACGTTTTCACGTACATATCGTGTCTACGTGTCGCGTGTATGTATGTGTGTGTATGTGTGTGTGTAGCAATTTTAACACGCACTGGAGACAAAGAAAAAAAAAAAAAAAAAAAAGGAAAAAAAAAGAAAGAAAAAACGAGAAAGTGTCGCAAAAAAAAGGTAGGCGTGTAGGCATAGGTACCCATTGAGGTGCGGTAGTTTTTCTCTCCTTAGTCGTGACGAAGCTTTCTTTTAGTCGAGAAAGCTCCGAAATAGAATAGTAGTAGTAGTAGTAAGTAGTAGAGTAGTAGTAGAGTAGTAGTAGTAGTAGTAGTAATAGTAGTACTAGTAGTAGTAGGTCTGTGTGTGTCACGTTAACACGTGACAATAGTTCACGCGCCGCGGATCAGGCTTTTAGGAGGCAGCTGCAACTGCAACTGCACCGCACTGCATCAAGCCTCCTTTTGCTTCGACTTCTTTTGCCGAGCCGTGTTGCCATTATTATTTAATTAACCATTATTAATATTACTTTTCAATTGCTTTATTAATTTTGTTTAATTATTTATTTATTTATTTTTTTTTACGCACGTCAAACGATCGTCTGTTTATTTTCAATGCCAATTGTTTCTTTTGTTTTCTTTTTTTTTTCCGAGAAAGTTCCGTTTCTCTCTCTCTCTCTCTCTTTCTTTCTCGGTTCTCAATTCTTTTTTCTTTTACTTTTTTTGATTTGTTATTCTTT